ATACCCATCTAGGAAACCTTGGAAAACAATCTACGTTTTCTAGATGAAAGCTTTTAATCAACGTGTGAACTTAGGCTTGTTCTGACTTGAAAATCATCGTAGAAATAAAAAATAAGATGATGAAAAATTGAATCCAAATTAAGATACATTGCAACACTATGTTTCTTCGTTTGATTTCCACTTTTTTGACAAAAATATATCTCAATTAGTCGAGAGATAACATCAAGGGCAGATCACACAAGTAATGAGAGTAATTGGTCGATGGAGAGGGAAATGAGGGCATGAGAAAATGCGAGCTGATAAAAAGGGAAGAGGACTTCTTGTAAACAGCAGGTAGTTGAGTTGATTAAAAAAAAGTAAGATCGAATATCAAAAGAGCATCAAGAAAAAGAAATTCTGCTGAGTTGCTCCTTTAAAAAACTTCTGCAAAATGAATGCAAATTGTGAATAGAGAATTCTCGTCACTTCTGCCTCAGATTTAGACCAACGTTAAACAAGCAAAAAAGCAAGGAGAGGAGTTTTGTGAATAAGGAATTTCATGGGTTTGCTTTTTTGTGATTTGCTCAAAAAATCAACACTTTGCCTTCATAGACAATTCGAGAAATGAACAGCCTTCGGTTTAAACTCTTATTGTCAAAGTAACCATTGTTTTTTACTCTCTTACCAATGCTTCTGTTGATTAAAAGTTTCGCTTCTCTGAAATGCTCGTCCAAACATAATCAAAACACCAAAAGTGTAGATACAAAGCCAAAGTCCAGCGAGTGATTTATTGCAACCCTGACGCAGGGCTGCATGCAAGGAAAGATAAATAAGTGACGTTAGTGGTGAGAGATTTAATTCCATAAACCGAGTTCTGTCAAAAAAAGCATAGCATAGAAGTTGTACATCAAGCTTGTGAACGGGTGCCAAGTTGCGGAAGTTGTAAACCAGTCGCCCGGAGGAGTTAACGAGACAAGTCCAAGAACGCGCGCAAGAGACGGCAAAATTAGGCGATTATGGCTGAGGCAAAGCTGGTTGACGGAAAGCCTCGGTCAGGCTGGGCCGGCATTGATCCTAGCTAGTCAAGACACGACACCAGCTTGACATATCTCAACTCTATTGCACATCACATCTCAGACGAGAGTCAAAGTGTGAATCGAATGACCTCGGAGACATGAGGAAATTATTCAAGTGTTGCCGCGACAAGTCTCAAGAACTAGTCGAAATCCAAAGACACCCAATAATACACCGC